TTTATATTATTATTATTATTATATGTTATTGTAACGTTGAATTATAAGTTTGATGTTTAAATGATGAGGAAATCCAAACTTGTGTATTAAACTGAATAAACTTTAATATCTGGCACACAGTGTAGTGACATCTTGCACAGAGAGACAAAGACACGCGCACACGCGTGTAAGCGCGTGTGCTTACTCTCGCGATCACAACCAGACTCCCCGACTACTACATCTCTCTTCTTTATATTCCTCCCCAGCCTACCACACATCTGTCCCCCACATATGTAACTAACCCACAGCCCTATGTGTCTACCCTCATTTCCCAATGACCCTAGAAACGCCCGACCTTAAACACGTTTACCATTTTCCCTATAACATCAATGTAGCCGCAACAAGACGCGCGACGCTCTGTCTACATAGACTACCACTAAAACAACCCTGAGTCTAGCCGCACTCCGCGTCTCTAACTAATTTATGTAACATCTGTAAATCACATGTTACATAATATTATTATGCAGACATGTCTAATACATATATATTGATAATCTTCGTGTTTCTCCTTTAGGTGCAACTGCAGTGGAGATGTATTAAATATAATAAAATTACATATTAATTATAGTTACATATTTTTTTTATATATGTGGTGTATTGTTATCTAGAGCTGATTGTAATATCGCACATTGATTCTCATCACGATGACATTGTCAGTGTCAATAATCTAATGTGATAATTAATGTGTTAATTATAATGTGATGTAGGATCAGTCGCAGGAGAACTCACGCTGTATCATGCCGGGGGGCGTCTGCTCGTCTCTCATCTCCATCGTGCAGTGCATGCTGGGATCGCCGGCAGACGTTGACGTGTTGGCGGCGGTCTGTGACTTCTTGCTCTACATGCACCCCGCAACGATGACATATGTCTGTCATGCGCCGGCTAGCTTCTACTGGAACAGTAATGACGATTACTACTAATAGTTATGCTAATTTAACTTGTATAATTATGTAGTTTATGTTTATATTATTATGTTTATATTATTATTATTATTATATGTAATTATATAGTTTATAATTATATTATTATTAGCTTATCTGACGTAGTCAGATGCAGCTTGTAGAATCGCATGATTGTCCGTCCGTGCGTTCGTCCGTCAACAGTTGGGCCTAAATCTAAACGGCTCGATGTACGGATTCGAAAGTCGGGACGTGGGGGGAATCGAAAACGAGTTGGGATGTCGAATTTGGGGGTTATGGGTCAAAGGTCAAGATGTGTCAATGGAGGCGGAATATTTCCCCTTAACTTAAGGTATAGGAGGAAATACGGAATTGCCGGCACAAATCTCAACCGCTGTCGACCTACGCTCTTAATATTCGATGTATAGTGTGATGTGGAGGAAACCCATCACCAGCGTGAAATTGGAGGTCACAGGTCACAGGCAGTGGGGGGAAAGGTCAGATATCAGACATTTTCTGAGGACATGGTCTAGGACGGACCGAGTGCAAACCTTTTTTGTTTCAGTGCTGACCTAGCTATTTTTTACTACTTTACTAAAAGGACCATGCAAATGTACTTTCCGCTGAGTGCAAAGAGTAGTGTCTGATAACTTTTGACCCTCAAGAGGAGGGTTAAACATGGATTTGTTGACTGTTAACAAAGGACTGAACTGCTCCTTTGCTATTAGAGCATGATATATGCTGATATAATAGCGCGAACGCGGTGGCGGGAGGGCGCACTTGATTCAGTTGCCAGTGAGTTTATGAAGAGATACCCGGCTACAGTATGCGTCAGTTGAGCGGCTGTCGCTCTGCGCGCACTTGTTTAATATTATGATTATTACTATTATTATTGTTAAATGTCTGTAGCATTGGAAATAGTAAATCCAGTAGACAGACCATTAGAGCCTGCGTGCGATGTATCAGTGACCAGCCTTAATCAAACCTTTGTGTAAAATGAAATCTCATCTCGTAAAATCTTTAAAAAATGTCTCGAATATAAAAACTTCACTGCTGCAGGTTCCTCCCAGACTATACAATTATATCTCATCTTATAAAATATTAAAAAAACCTCGAGGAAAAAACTCCCGAGTGCGAGTCATTTTGCTAACATTGGCATTTCCTTCTTTTCACTGCTGCAGGTTCCTGCAGACTATACAATTATATCTCATCTTATAAAATATTTAAAAACCTCGGAGAAAAACTCCTGAGTGCGAGCGATATAGCTAACATCCGTGTTTCCTCTGCACTGCTGCAGGTTCCTCCCAGACGAACAGGAGAAGAGTGAAGTCAGCATCGCAGCCGTCACGCTGTGGTCGCTCACGCTCCTCCTCCTCCTCCCTCACGCCATCATCGTCGGCGTCTTCTAACGAGCATCCTCCCACTGCAGGGAGACGTGGCAAGGGGAGGACGCGCGAGCGAAGGAGAGGGTCGCGCAGGGGAGGAGGCCCCGGCGTCGCCGCGCGCGCCGCCGTGGCTGGACGACCCCCGTCTACACCGCACGCGAGAGGTCGCGATGGCAACGCAGTGGTGGCTGAAAACATACCAGGAGGCAATGCAGCAACAGACAACATAGCAACAGACAACACAGCAACATCCAACACAACACATCCAACACAACAACATCCAACACAACAACAGACAACACACAACAGACAACACAACAACAGACAACACACAACAGAACAACACTAGCAAAAGACAACATAACAGCAGACAACACAGGCACGACAACATAGCAACAGGCAACACAACAACAGACAACCAACAACATGCAACACACAACAGACAACACAACAAAAAGACAACATAACAAACGAGACAACATAGCAACAGACAACACTAACACATGGCAACACCAACAACATGCAACACAGCAACAGACAACACAGCAGCAGACAACATAACAACAGACAACATAGCAACAGAACACATAACAACATGCAAACACAGCAACAGACAACACAGCAGCAGACTATAAAAAAGATACCAAATCCATGCCAGCAGCAGCGAGACGTGTGCCAGGTACATGCTCCCAGAGTCGGAGGAGGACGGGAGGCGGAGCAGGCATCCCCGCCGGAAAGGACGAGGAGGATGATGAAGAGCGGGTCCCGGCGGCGGCGCCACGAGGGGCGCCACCGAGGGCGGCAACGGGAACAGGTGCAAGAACGGCCAGGTACGCAGGCGAGCACTCAGCGGTCACATGACAGCGATGACATCAGACAGACGCAGCGACGCGATTCGACGAACTGACGTTCGCGTTACGCCGTCCTGCCACACCGCCCGGCGACCTTGCAGAACGCGACGGCGCGCCCCCTGCAGGAGTGGCGGAGGTTCGCGTCTTCGAGCTGGTGGCGCCACCTATCGACGCGATCCCGCCTCTTTCTTCCGGCGATTCCGATAGTTCCTGACGCAGACTTCCTACGATGTGATAACGGAGGAGGAGGAGACTGAAAGATGGCAGCACGCGTAGACCGCAGAAACAAGAGGGCAGATGATGGCGTAGGCGTGGCGCAGGCTGTCTGATTTGCTTGATTTGCTGAAAAGCGACGAATGCAAGGCGTATGACGATCTGTGTGTCGGTACGTATACATAGCAGTCACGCTGCTATACATGTTAGTCAAACATTCACAATGTACCGCGATTCTTGGCCCATGTTTAAGCCGCATTAACAAACATCCCCTATAAAAAACATGATGAATGAACATCTGTGTACATGGCAGTTGTACAATCCCATGTGATCGTGATCGTATCGCACTCACAGTGGATAGTTGTGTTAATGAGAAACGGACATCACAGAAACATGGAAATGTCACAATAAAGCGATAGATCTGCAACATAAAAATTCTTCCATTTGTTTCAGGAGGTATGCTATGAAACTTCTGTAAAAGATCCTAGTACCCTTACATCAATCTATACTATAATTTGGCTAATCTGTGTGTGTGTGTGTGTGTGGTGTGTGTTTGTTTGTCCTCGCTTTTGCCCTGATTTTCACTCAATCGCGCTAACTGAGATATATTCAGAATCACCACATCTGGGAGATGGTTCTGGCTGAGAACAAAATTTAAAAAGTTAAGTATTAAGTATTAAAGTCAAAAATTCCGAAAAGGCTATTCGTCAATAGATGGGCAGTGCGTACAGGGCGATCCACATCACATACGGTGGAATTACACTGCGTCTCTGACTGCCGCCGTATGAGCATATCATAATCACCACGTCGTGGAGATGGTCTGGCTCAAACAAAAATCTATTCCTCAATAGGATGGTGCTACGTCTCAGATCCCCCCCCCTACTGCAGATCCCCCCTGCTGCACTCTGCTTTGACGTAACACCGTACTGACACAGTAGTCAGTGGCCAGTAGCTGTGCCAGTGTTCTGTTGTACCCAGTGCAGTGGTTTTCTTTCAGTTACATGAAATATTTAACTTTACGTGTCACTTACATGGGTTTTTATTTAAAAATAAAGACAACATTTGCTGGTTCTACGGGTATACTTTCTGCTAGTGTGTTCTATAAAAATCTATTTATCATTTTTATTCATTATAATACCAAATTATTAGTTGATTATAATAGACAAAGCCAATTTACACAGTTGCACATTGAAATAACAAGTAAATCAATTCACTATGTCATAATATTACACTGTATGTTAGTATATAGTACAGGTAAATCAATCCAGTGAGTGTTAACATGAGTTTGATTGTGTTTGGTGTTGTTCTAGATAAAGATATAGTATAGAAGATAATATGTATAGAGAATGGTATTAATCGTTATGTTTATGTATTGATTGGCAGGGCGCTGTTCCGATTGCTTAGGCACTGTGGTTGTGAATCTACCAGACACGATGGTGAACGGATATTGAGCAACATACTGCGACCCGAGCCCTCATCGTGCTCCTCCACCATCACTCAGCCAGCAGCGCGCACCGCGGTACCCAGGTACACATAGACTGCCGCACAGTCACAGACGTGGTTGATAGGAGAAGTCTTTGCTCTTTTTCTGCTTCTCTCTCCACGTTCTTCGTCTTATTTTTTCTTTTTCTTTTTCTTCTCTTTTTATCTTCTCATCACTAGTTCGTTTTGCTAATTCTTCTGCTTTCTCTTCTACTCTGTAGTCCACTTGTGTCTCTGCAGAGTTTTATCTGCAGTGTGGTTGTTACGACACGTTCTCGCTGTGTGTACATTTGCACACATTCCTTTGTATGTTCGTTACTGTACATTCACATTAGGATTGTCTTTACATATATTCCACAGTGCAGATGTTACCATGGCATTCCTGCTGTCTGTACGTCACCACGTATTATGTGCCGACGTTATCGTTTGAACGGTTACCACATATTAGCTTACAGATCGATGTTGTTATTTGTATGTTACCATTATTAGCTGCACAGGAGACATTATTATTTGTACGTCAACACATATTAGCTGCACAGCAGACGTTGTTATTATTTGTACATCACCATATATTAGCTACAGATCAGATGTTATTATTTGCACATCAACACATATTAGCTACACAGCAGATGTTGTCATTATTTGTACGTTACCATGTAGTAGCTACACAGCAGACGTTGTTATTATTTGTACATCACCATATATTAGCTACACAGCAGACGTTGCTATTATTTGTACGTTACCATGTATTATCTACACAGCAGATGTTGTTATTATTTGTACATCACCATATATTAGCTACAGATCAGATGTTATTATTTGTACATCACCATATATTAGCTACAGATCAGATGTTATTATTTGCACATCAACACATATTAGCTACACAGCAGATGTTGTCATTATTTGTACGTTACCATGTAGTAGCTACACAGCAGACGTTGTTATTATTTGTACGTTACCATATATTAGCTACACAGCAGACGTTGTTATTATTTGTACGTTACCATATTATATATATTAGCTACACAGCAGACGTTGCTATTATTTGTACGTTACCATGTATTATCTACACAGCAGATGTTGTTATTATTTGTACATCACCATATATTAGCTACAGATCAGATGTTATTATTTGCACATCAACACATATTAGCTACACAGCAGATGTTGTTATTATTTGTACGTCACCACGTATCACCTACAGACGTTGTTATTATTTGTACGTTACCATGTATTAGCTACACAGCAGATGTTGTTATTATTTGTACGTCACCACGTATCACCTACAGACGTTGTTATTATTTGTACGTTACCATGTATTAGCTACACAGCAGAGTTGTTTATTATTTGTACGTCACCACGTATCACCTACAGACGTTGTTATTATTTGTACGTTACCATGTATTAGCTACACAGCAGACGTTGCTATTATTTGTACATCACCATATATTAGCTACAGATGTTGTTTATCATTTATTCTCGGCAGCTGCTGTTCAACTACTTGACGCAGGCGACGGCGGCGCGTCGTGAAAGCGTTCCTAGACTTCATGGATTCTATCTGATAGCTAACCAGCTGTACCGCACTCGCGCTGACGCCGCCGACGTCGATGCTGCCTTGAGTTCCTGTTTGGCAAGACTTCGTTACGAAGCGGTGAGTGTGAGAACGTGTCAAGCGGAAGAACGGTTGTTCGTGCACGCCGGTTTTACTTACGTTTGTTTTGGGGATCCTGCATTCGTGGATATGTTATATATGGATCCTGTTTCGTGGTTGGTGATATCTTTATCTATGTCTCTGATTATTTTCTCGTTAACCTGCACAGGTATAGACATCAGCGTACCTGTCGTCCGCCACACCCTGATCATTTTCTCGTTACCCTACACAGGTATAACATCATGTACCTGTCCTCAGCCACACCTGATCTATTTCTCGTTAACGCTACACAGGTATAACATCACGTACCTGTCCTCAGCCACATCTGATGATTTTCTCGTTAACCTACACAGGTATAGACACTCACGTACCTGTCCTCAGCCACATCTGATGATT